GCTCTGGAAGGGCCTAAGGATACAGTTGTTGAATGATTGTAAGAACAAGAGAAAGGTCGACTCTCCATATGGCAACCCTACAATTTGTTTATCAACTCTACAATAGGTTTAGTAGATAACTCCTTTGGAGCATGCTTGTAAGTTACTGAACTATAACCAAAGACCCCACTGGAAAATGTTTTGAATTGACATGAGAATTTGACATTAAGTAGCAACTTGGAGCATCAGAGAAGCCTCAAAAAGAAAAAAAAGTTAACAAGAAATTCGTGATTAGGTTGAAAGAGACATTCTACTTCTACTACCCAGAGAGCATAGATAGAGAAAAATGAGCACCTTCTATACCAATACCAGGACTTTGGCAGCTGCTGCCTGTAATGGCTGTAGGCCTAGTCCTCATGTACCGAATAGAGAAGGAATCAGTACAAGCTCAGACCCAGTTGATAAAAATCAAATAAAAAGTCCCTGTGGCTGGAGCTATATGGGTAATAGCTTTACCAGATATTTGTGTAGCCAATTATAGTTTATGGTGCAAAAGACTATAATCCCTCCACAAAATCTCTGAGAGTAAATGTTATTTTCATTTTTTCAGATGAAAATAGTAACTTTTCAGATGCAAGCTTATAGCTAACACTTGATTTTTGAGCTTTATACATATTATATGTCAGTTAAAATAGCTTTAAGGTTCTAAAAATGAAAGCTTATTTTTTTCCCTTTAAGAGGAAGTGATGTATTTTTCTTACATGCAGGGATTGAAGGAGTGTGTTATTTAATAGTAGAGCATTGGACTAGAGATTGGGAATGACTGCTTCTGGTCTGGATGCTGCCAGTAAGTGAATGTTACTCAGAGTCTCTTTTTTTCTCAGGTATAAATTGAGTCAGTCTTACAGGGATTTTTCTAGGATGTATCTTAGCTTCGCAGATGAATTTCAGCAACATTCCCAGTGGCTGTCAGTTGTTAGAGAGATGCAGCTGGCCCTGGCATTTTCAAATAAAAAGTCCTTGGCGCTTACTTGTCTTTCAAGAAGGGAGTTGTAGTGTTTCCCTTCAGAGTGCATGCACAGCACTTGATCTGTAGTCCCTCCCCTTTCCACCTCACTTCCATTCTGGTTTGGACCCTGAGATCAAAGTAACTCTTCAGGTAGACTGTTTAGTTCACTGATGCATCACAGGGCCTTGATTAGTGCCTGGCCTGGGAGATGTTTGTTGAATGAACGACTTAGTTTATAGGAGCTTGCAATCTAGTGGAAAGGCAGAAAGGTGAATGTGGAAAGGCCAGTACCTGTTCTTTCATTGAGATGCTATTGGAGGTTTGAGAAAGGAACAGTGTGCACAAGGAATAGTAGCTTTAGGTAGGCAGGGTTGGAATGGAGTGGGGAACTGTTTTGGTCAGTGAAGGCTTGGATGTTAGTGACTGGGTCTTGAAAAGTGACTCCTTCCCAAGGGGCTAGGAGAGAAGGCAGTGTAGGCATGTGCCAAGGCAAAGAGATGGGTGTAGAACAGGGTATGAAATATTAAGGAAAAAACTGTAGAATCTGAGGTTCGAGAGTTAGACCATCACCAGATGATGAAGTCTGGAATGCTGTACAAAGAATTTGAATTTTTCTGTAAATAGATGGTAGCTATTGAAGAATTTGAGGCAGGGAGTTACCATTATCACATTTGCATTTTAGGTAGATAGTACCAGGAATTAGGGCAGGAGAAATGGGATGAGAAGAGATGAATTCATTAAGTATTTAGGGATTGATGAAATCATGGCTACGAATGAGAGGGAAGAGTTGACAACAGTCCTGTGTTCAATTAGGAAGCTGGGTGTTGGTGGTGTCATTAATGAGGTAAGGAAAGCCGGAGAAAGAAGAGATTGGCAAACCTGAGTTCAATTTTGGACACTTTGGGTGTGAGGTGCTTCTGGTCTGCCAGAAGGAAGGTGTTCATATGGCAATTCAGTGTGGAGACCAGGCTTCTGGGATATAGGTCTTAGGCTTGAGCGAATGCATTTATTAATAGGATTTATTAGTTTTTCAACAGCAGTTAGAAATCAAGAGATTGGATGAGAGACCAGTACAAGAGCACATAGAATGAAAAGAGAATTGGTGCAGGCCTGCAATCTCAGCTATTCGGGAGGCTGAGGCAGGAGAATCTCTTGAACTCGGGAGGCGGAGGTTGTGGTGAGCCGAGATCGCACCATTGTACTCCAGCCTGGGTAACGAGAACGAAACTTCATGTCAAAAAAAAAACAAAAAAAAAAACAAAACACAGAATAAGGGCAAAAGACAGAATGTTGGGCCCCTTAGCATTGAAGGGTAGGCAGGAGAGGGGAAGCTGCAAAAGTGGTAAGATGTGACCAGACTCCTAGGAGAACCAGGACAGCAGGATGTCACAAAAGTTAAGGGAGAGGTTTCTGGAAGAGGGGAGTGGCCAGAGGTGTTAGATGCTAAAGGGAAGTCATATAAATAGGGCATTTTATAAATATAAAATATTTATTTACATAAATATCAGAAGTTATTTGTTTGGTCATTGGTGATTTCTATCAGAGGTTATTCACTGTTCACTGAGGGTAAAAGCCAGAAAGTGGTGAGTTCAGGAAGTGGAAATGGGAAGACTCTTGAGACAGGAGGAGGATCTCCCAGTTACTTGAAATGGAAATCCTGGGGTCTTCCCTGATGACTTCTGCTTTACCCCTACATCTACTCACGCGCTGCATGGTGATGCTGAGGGATTTTTGAGTGGGATCTTGAGACTCAGACTTTTTGGGTTTGAATCCTTCCTCTGCTACTGATAAAGTATCTGATCCAAGGCAAGTTATTTAATCTGGCTGTGGTTCAGTTTTTCCTCACCTATAAAATAGAGATTATAAAAATATCTAACTCATAGGCCTGTTAAGGAGTAAATAAGTGAAGTGCTTAGCTTAGTGTAGCACCTAGCACATAATAAGCACTCAGTGAATGTTAGCTATTTTAAATCCTAAATACCTTTTAAGTGTGTTCTTCCCTGGATTACCATAATAGCTTTTTTTTTTTTAAAGCTTATTAAAGTAAATTGTTGTAGAGTAATTTACATGCCATGAAATTCACCTATTTTAAGTTCACATTCCAGCCCTTTTTTTTTTTTTAGATAGAGTCTTGCTCTGTTGCCCAAGCTGGAGTGCAGTGGCATGATCACGGTTCATTGCAGCCTTGACCTCCTGGGCTCAAGCAATCCTCCCTCCTCAGCCTCCTGAGTAGTAATTCAACACTTGATAAATTTATTGAGTTGTGCAAACATCACTACAATCCAATTTTAGAATATTTTTATCACTCCAATAAGATATATTGTGCCCCTTTATAGTTAATCCCTATTCCCACCCCAGCTTTAGGCAACTACTTACCTACTCTATAGGGATGCTTTTTCTGGGTGTTTCATATAAATAGAATAGTTCAATATGTGGCCCTTGTGTTTGCTTCTTTCACTTAGCTTAATGATTTTTAGGTCTATCGGTACTGTAGCATATCTCAGAACTTCACTGCCCTTTATTGCTGAATTGTATTTGGTTGTATGGATATGTGAGATTTTGGTTGTCCATTCACCATAGATAGACATGTGTTTGTTTCCACCCCTGCTCTTATGAATAATGCTGCTGTGAACATTTCTATGCAAGTCTTTGTGTGGACATATGCTTAATAGCTTCTTAATTGGTCCTTTAGCCTCCTTCAGGGATCCTGCTTCTGTGCTTGTCCCCCTCCAATCTGTCCTCTACACTGTAGCCAGAGTGATTTTCCTAAAGTGTAAATCTGATCATGCCATTTCCCTGCTTAAAATCCTTCGGTAGTGCCCAAGTACCCTCAGGATCAAGTTTAAACTCTTTCAACTGAAGAGCCCACTAAGAATCTTCGATATCTACCTTCCCTCCCCACCTTCTCTTTCACTATGCCCCCTCTCCACTTCTTGCTTCAGCCGTTTATTCATATTGTTTCGTTCGTTCATTTAACATTCATTCATTCAGTTAACTAGGCTTAGCGAGGCTCTGGGAATGTAGTGATAGGACAGCCAAATCCTTGCTTTCATGGAGCTTTCTTTCTAGTGAAAGGCAGACGGTAAACAAGCAAGTATCAGAGAGTGGTCAGTGCTCTAAAGAAAATTAAAAAGGGTGACTCTGAAATCTGCAGGTCTGGGTGTTCCTCAGAGCCTCCGCTCTATTGCCAGCTGCCTACTTGATATCTCCACTTGGATGTCTAATGGTGGCAAATTCTGGTTCTCCTCCGTTCTTCAATGTGATTTTTCTCACCCAGGAGCACTTTTATCTTACTGAATCTCTTCCTTGTACTCATCCTTACCTTGTACATCTTCCCTAATCCTCTGCTCCAGCCCTGCCTTCAAAGCCTGGCTCCTTGTGCTGCCCAGTATGCTTTCTGTATACTTTCATTACATGCTGACTCACTCAGGTACCACCCTTCATGTTATATTTAAATGCCTTACGGTTGTCTGTTTATTCTGTTATGCTTTAAGCACTTGATAACTTTGAATACTCAGAGTCTAGTCTTGTTTCTGGCACATAGTTGATGCATAATGAAATCTGTTGAAAGGGTGATTGTATGCGGTTAGCTTTGAATGGGAGGGAGGGAAGGAAGGGGGAAGGAACACTTGCTTTCAGGACTAGAGGGAGGGAAGGAGCTAAGGCCCATTAATGCATAAATAAGTTTTTAGGATTGGGGGGGAAAGTTGTAGTTTAGATAGCATACATTTCCACAATGATAACAATTTCGTGCACAGTATAAAGTGAAGAGTGTAGTTATTTATAATGAGCAATTAGCAGTGCATTAGAAAAATAAAGGAGTAGTGCTGTGGGATGCATCTTGAAATCTTAAAATTATTCTTACTTCTCGTTTTATGGCTGTTAGATTCAGCCTAATTTCTTTAGGCCATTTGTTACATGTATGGATGTGGATGACTAAATTACCTGGATGTTGGACTGGTTTCACTCTTGCTCTTTTATGATTGATTTTGTTTTGATGTTGCTTTTCCAGCTTTCGGAAAATGTGATTGATCGAATGAAGGAATCCTCTGCATCTGGCTCGAAGTCTCAGCGGTATTCTGGTGCTTACGGTGCCTCAGGTATTGCTGAATTTTAATATTAGGGTTTTTAGGAGAAAAATTCTAAGTGGAAAAAGTTGACTCAGTAGTCAAGTTCTCTAGCATTCTGCCTTTCGTTATTTGGATGTTTAGCTTTTTATAAGGAATATTAGAAATCAGTTATTGGGGTTTCTTTTAAAATGTTTTGTGCTAAGAATGAATATTTTCAGTCTTTGGAAATTTTGTTTTCTCATTCCACTCCTGAATCCTTTACTAGGCTTTGGAAAGCTGCTTCATATCTTTTTGTATACAACAGATTGCCTATAGGGATACTAGAGACTTAGGAATAAATATTTATTTAAAAAATTGATCTTAGAAAATACTGATTTGCTATTTTCAAGTTGTGAAGTATTTCAAATGATTTTATCTTCTAATAAATTTCTCATAAGTTTATGAAAGATTTAGTTTGTCACAGTCAGTCTTAGTTATTGATGGAAATACGGTGTTAAATGAAATACATAAAGAATTATTAAGCCTCATTTTATCTGTAGGTCCTGCTGGATAAGAGACTTAATGCTGCTGCTTCTCCCTTTTCTCTCTCCTGCCACGTGTCTGTTTATCCAGTATTTACTAAGCACCAGCTATGTGTCCAGCACTGTTCTTGATACTGCCCAGTTGATGGATACTTAGGCTATTTATTGTGAAGTGACAGCAAGAAAATAATTGGGATGATTAATTTTGGACTAAGTGAGATTTTCCTGTATTTATAGAAAGGAAATTGAGAAAAGATGAGATCCCGCCCAAATGCCATTCACTTGGGCCAACTGTGACCCCCAGCCCCTTACTAACATTAAATCAGTAAACATGAATTGAGCTTCTGATATGTTTAGAGCAGAGGGTACCAAGATGAGTAAGAAAGGGTTTCTTGCCCCTTTGAAGCTTCTTGTTTAGTAGGAGAGTTGAAAAGGATTCACAGTTCATTAACGCTAGATAGAAAGTGAGCATGCCTTCCTTGTTAGAAACCCTTTCTTGGGCTTCTGGACCACACGCTTGGTTTTCCTTCCACCCTACTTGCAATCCTCAGTCCAGGCTTCTTTGTTGATTTCTACAAAGTAATCTTGTCCCAATTTATGGTTTTGAAATTATTATCTAGATGCCTGTAACTCCCAAAATTATATCTCTAGCCCTGACCTTTCCCTGAAATTCCAGACATTATAATAGACAGCTGCCTACTTGAAATCTCCCCTTACAGATTCCTTAACTTGATATATTCCAAATCAACCTTTATTTTCACCCCCATACTTGCTTTTCCTCTCCGTATTTCCTGGTAAATGGCACAGGTAGTAAAGCCCCCAATGGGAGATTCATTCTTGTTTTCTTTTTTTCCTTACTCCTTACATCAGACTGTTAGCTAGTCTTGTCAACTCGATCTCTAAAGCATGTCTAAATATGCTCCTTTTGCATCCATCTCCTCTGCTACAGCTCCAATCCAGATAGATAACCATCGTCTTCTGCAGAAGTCTCTTAACTGGCCCCCTGCTTCCCTCTTCCCCACTGCGCTATGCACACAGAAGTCATCACAATCTTTTGAAGAAGAGCAAATCAGGTGAAGTCACGTCCCAGTGGTGGCTCTCCATGGTACATAGAATGTAGCCTGAGCTGCTTCCCTGGGCTTCCGTCATATATCACTACTGGTCCCTATCTGTCTTTCCCACGTCATCTCATTATTTATCATCTCCCATCACCCTTCCTCTACTTATTCACTGTGACTGCTATCTTCACTAGAAGACAAGCTCCAGGGACCTTGTTCCTCATCTGTTTGTTCACAGCTGAATTCTCAGCTCCCTAGGATACTGTACCTGCTTCTTAGTAAGTGCTTATTATTGTTTGTTGAATTAATTTAAGGGCAAATCTCATTCTCCACTTTAAAAGTAGCCTCTTTTGTTCATTCTGGAGAGTTCTATACACTTAATTCAGGTGACATTTATTGAGTGTTTCTAAGATGCAAATAAGTAAGCCAGGTATTTTGAGAGGATGCAAAAATAGGAAAAAGATTTGTTTTTTTTGGGCAGATAAATAACGTGTAACAGGACTATAAGGAAGGTAGAAACATAGTATAAAAGAAACCTATAAGATACTGAAATTAAGTTTATCAAATATTTTGGCTGAAGAAAATGCCTTGTTGTACACAAACAAATGCTGTCCAGTTTATTAAACTGCCAAACAACTGCACTTCTGCTCACCTGGGCCTTGCATGTAGATACGAGCGTATATAGTGAGCACATCTAGCTGACCATAGATAAACCTTTGCTGCGCTTCTTCCTCAAAATGGTGAAACTGATCATGTCTACATGTATGAACTTAAAATACGGAAAATGTTAAGGAAGCAAATGGTTTGTAACTTTGTAAGTACTTAACGATGTGGAATAACTTTGAAAGTACTTGTGACATGGTATATGTTTTTACTTATGAATATTCTGTGCTATAACCATTGTTTCTGTAGTTTAATTAAAACATTTTCTTGGTGTTAAAAAAAGTACGATGATATATGGATACATTGAAGATTGGAATTTGTTTTAAAGTATAATTTGTTGTAGTTAGATTTTTTTTCCCGTACCTCCTGTGTTAAAGAGTTAGTGTGATGATGATGATGGTTCAGTAGTACTGTAATAATGATAGATGACACTTAAATAAAATTTATTATATGGTAGGTACTCTGCTAAATCCTGTATATATCTTATCTCATTTTATCCTTATAACCCTATGAAGAAGGAGCTGTGGTAATCCATTTTATGTAGAAGGAAACTGAGACTTGAAGTGATTAATTATCTTGCCCAAAGTCACACAGCTGGTGAGCAATGGAGATGAAAGTTACATTCAAGTTTATCTGACTCCAGAGCAAATGCTGTTAACCACTTTGTCTTATTTTAATGTGAATGACATCTTGTTTTAGGAAGGACGTGACAGAAACTAGTTGGAACGAAGGAGCTGCTTTTTAGTGATGTTCTGCTTGAACTAAGGAAAGAACCCGTTGTCTATAAGTGGTTGTTGGTTGTGCTAGCTTTTTCCCATATTGGCTCTCAAATAGTGAGTGGAAAAAGAGAAAATGTTTTCTTTCTTGGTTGTTTTGATACACTGAGAGAGTGGGCATGGGTTGGCAGGTTTTCTATGAGTGCCTGTAGGGTGTATGGCCTGAAGAGCATGCCACTGTTGTGAAGAGCTCTGGCTTTGCTGAAGGACCCATCCCTTCTCACTCCCTGTTTGAAATGATGGGGACCAGCCTGAGCACTGAAAGCTCTTAGAATGCCACCTGTGGGCCGGGATTGGTGGCTCATACCTGTAATCCCAGCACTTTGGTAGGCCGAGGTGGGTGTATCACCTGAGGTTAGGAGTTCGAGACCAACCTGGCCAACAGGGCGAAACCCTATTTCTACTAAAAATACAAAAATTAGCTGATTGTGGTGGAACATGCAATCCCAGCTACTCAGGAGGCTGAGGCATGAGAACTGATTGAACCTGGGGGGCAGAGGTTGCAGTGAGCTGAGATTGCACCACTACACTCCAGCCTGGGCAAGAGTGAGACTCCGTCTCAAAAAAAAAAAAAGAAAAGAAAAGTATGCCACCTTGTGTTTTGGTGGTCAGGTTAGAACTACACTGTGAATGATAGCCACTAGTCACATGTGGCTCTTAAAAGTTAAATGAAAATTAAGTCAATGATAAAATGAAAATTTCAGCTTCCAAGTGACACTCATCACATTTTATGCTCAGTAACTGCATGTGGCTTGTGACTACCATATTGGACAGCGCAGATATAGGACATTTCTATTATTGCAGACAGTCCTGTTGCATAGCTCTGGTCTAGAATACTCCAGTGTTTTTTTTTTTCTATCTGCACCATGATGTGAAAAAGACTCAACAAGGCTCTTTGATTACATGATTTTTCTTACCCATTCCAACCTAACCCAAGAAAAGAACTAAGATTTGGCATGCTATTTTGAAATGATCTTGCTTTAGGTTAAGAATGCAATTAGACTATGTATAAATTAACAAAGATTTATTCTTCTTAGAATTAAAAAAATAGGTTTGTAAAAGCAGAAAGCCTGAAAATTTATGTGCTTTTCTGAGTTTGCATCATTTAGGGGTTTTAGTTAGCACTCAATAATAGATTTCTTATGATTTAAAATTTAGATGTGTTATGAAATAATTTTTCAAGCCTACAAAAATGTATTGATAAAAATGTCACTTGCCTTTTTTACATTTTTCAGTGTGAAGTAAATTATATATTAAATGTGAGTTGAATTTTAAATATTTATTAAAAAGCCTTCTTTCTTACATCACTCTTGGTCATACTAGCCCTAGGCTACTCGTATGTGTGAATATAGGGCAGCGTATTTGATGAACTGAGAGCCCTAGGATTTCTTTATATAGTAACTAAATTTTGTCATAAAAATAGTTTTGAGAATATATTTTATACTGTAAGAAAGTGGATTCCTCTGAAGACTTTACTGAAACTGTTTTTGCTAAACCTCGAACCAGATCAGTGGCTCGTTGCAATAAGTATTTGCATATAAAGCTGTTTGGGCAAAATAATATATACTGTGTGACACACAGCAGATTGTAATGCCACTTTAATAAATGAATGTGCTGTAAAGAACTTAACTGTGTCCTTGCTGCCTCAAATTTTTTGCTGCGTTATCTCAAGTATATTGGTTTGCTGTTACACCAGATAATTTTCTTCTTATGCTGACATAAGGAGATGTCATTGCATATAGTTATAAATTTACCTTTTTATTAACATCTTGCATCTTTTGATTTTAAAAAATCAATTTCGGGTATTGATTTTTTCCTCTCCAACCTGATCTTTTAGTTTTTCTGGCTTATAATGAGGTCAGACCTCTCATGGTTTACCCTACCTACTGCTGAAGAAACTGTCTCCGAATCAATATGAAGAAACAGACAGGAAATGATATTAGGAGAGTTTTCTTTTGTTTTCCTAAGCTACTGGCAGCCAGATAAAAATGATGAATCTAGAAAAAACAAGA